ATAATAATAATAAAAAATAATAATAAAGGCAGTGCTCCTCATTAAAAGAATTCAATAAATAATTATAATAAAAATACTCATTTCTTAAATTGGCCTAATTTTATCTTAAATTCCTTTTTCCTAAATAGTACTCCTTTAAAAATAGTACTTCAATTTCCCTAAAAAGTACTCGTTTTAAATCAGCCTTTAATCTTTAAACACTTTTCATTAAAATCAACTTTGAGAAAATAAAAAATTATTAACACCAAATTAGAAAGCCAACCACGGATGATGTTTTAACGACTCCTTAGATCGATCCCCGTAATCATAAGTAACCTCCTCGCCCTTTAAAATCCTATCTTTAGCGATCAAAACCAATCTCGGCTTATTATCCAAGAGAATCGTTCTCGTTATTAAGTTTCCGTTCCTCGAATGATTCACCAAGCGTCCAAATCGGCCGGTTTCAGCAGTCGCATCGATACTAGAAAACGTTTTGGTTAAAAATCTCACTTTGGTTCATAAAATGAGTCAAAATTTGTGATAAAAACTTTATAACCTCAAATTGACATTTGAACTAAATTTTTTTTTAAATCAATTCTGAGCTCATTTAATAAGTTTTTTTTTGTTAAACTCACCAATACTGTTGGTTTCTATATTTAAAATAATACATATAACACCCGGCGGTGTGATCCAAAGAGTATTTTTGTTCCCTACGATTAGCTTCGGTTAAATCGATTAAGTCACCGCTGTATTCAACTACAAAGTCGCCTTTTTCGAAGGTTTTTGTTGTTACGACCCCTCTTCCTTTGCCGTCGAATATTTTAACTAATAAACCATCTTCGGAGCCGCTTCGAACGGCGTCCTCTAACGATTTTTGTTTCTCCTCTAAAACGGTTTTCTTCGTTTTCCTAATTGAACGCCGAACGGGGAAGAACTCTGTTAACTTCGTGTTTCCCAAATCACTNATTATTAACGCCAAATTAGAAAGCCAACCACGGATGATGTTTTAACGACTCCTTAGATCGATCCCCGTAATCATAAGTAACCTCCTCGCCCTTTAAAATCCTATCTTTAGCGATCAAAACCAATCTCGGCTTATTATCCAAGAGAATCGTTCTCGTTATTAAGTTTCCGTTCCTCGAATGATTCACCAAGCGTCCAAATCGGCCGGTTTCAGCAGTCGCATCGATACTAGAAAACGTTTTGGTTAAAAATCTCACTTTGGTTCATAAAATGAGTCAAAATTTGTGATATAGTAGACGCCACGAGAGCTGGCAGTAAATCATCGTTTTCCCCCTATTTTCGCATAGTCTAAATGTCAAAAGAGATACTAATTCAAAAATTCCTGGAAACAGTGTTTATTGAAATTAAGAAATAAAACTTATTTTAAATTGAAGCTTTCTGTTTAAATCGATGTATAACAATCGATGGGTTGAATAAAAAAAATATTGAGAAAAAGAGTATTGAGTTAAAACTAACATTTTCGTATAACCTAAAAGTGTCAAAAAAGATGCTAATTTAAAAATTCCTGGAAGCCGTATTTATTGAAATTAAGGAATGAGACTT